CAAAAAAGTTTAATATATCCAGAAATAGTGTATTTCCTTTTGTCAACCTTTTTCGGTATTTTATGGATTATTGTAGAGATTCATAGAAAATAAATCCAATGAATATAAATATTTTTGATCAATTTTTTGCACAATGTATTCGCACCGGGAGTTGATTGTCAGCGCGTTTTTGTGTGATTGGGTCTAAAAAAGTTTTTAGAAACTTTTATGTTGATTAAATCTACTCTATCTGGTCTACCGGGTTCATACATACAGTAAGTACATCATAATGTGGATAAAAATAACTTAACTAGCACTTTTATTCACTTAAGACTTGTAGGAAATATTTTCAATAGTTTTTAACTTTTTATCGATATTTTTGAATTCATTGGTTAAGAATATTCTTACTTTAGTCTAATGTTTTAGATTTTACTTATATTTTATTATACAATAGAGTTTAAGCCTTAAACTGTTTAAACCTTAAGGAATCTCTCTCTTTCTCTCTCTCTCTCTCTCTCTCTCTCTCTCTCTCTCTAGCGATTGAAAATAATGGAAAACCTTTTTCTGACAATATTATAATAGCCCTTCAATGTGAATGAGTTTCCAATAGAAAAGGTTATAAAATGTTACCATAAAATATGCGATTGAAAATCAGATAAAATATACATTTTATCGTAAGGTTTAGTAGGTTATAGAAAATTTGACTCAAATGTGTCACAACTAATATCGGCAGTCATTGTATGGAAAGTCTAGAAAAATATTGTAAACTTCAAATCATACATATGTTTTGTCTGTTGCACACAATGTGATCGGAAAAAGTATTATTTTGTGATAAATGTGTTATTATAACGACATAAACAATCAAAATTTAGATACATTTTGTGTACGCCAGTAGTCAAACATTAGGTGCAAAAACCTAGAGCTAGACACACAAAACATGCAATAAATGGCACAAAAAACATCTATATTGACAATATTTGCCAAATTGATTGTCTGTTTGTACAATAAAATTGTCACTAAACAGAGAGAGAGAGAGAGAGAGAGAGAGAGAGAGACTACTAAACAAAAGTGTAAAAAACTACTAAACAATTGTGTATATTTAACATGTACAAGTTTTTTTATTTATTTGTTTAAAAAAAGTCAAACATCGATGTGTTATTCCCAATGATAGTCTTCCGGGATTTGTAATTAGGAGTTCCAATAGTGTATATAAAAACAATTGCTGTTAATTAGCGTAACTGATCCCTCAAAGCTATTTTGGCAAAATTATTTAGCCCTGTGTTTAACGATAAATATTTTATGTGTATATTCTGTTGACTATAGATTACTACACTTTTACTATCAGTTTGGTATAGACTTATTCCGTACACGATTCCTGAGTACTTATAAACTTAAATACCATAACAATAAAAAGCAAAATTATTTGAATTATTTTTAGAAATTAATACTTTTATCTATAGTGTGCGCAAAAGTTTAGACAAAAACTACTTCATAATTAAATTCATCGTAAATATGTTTGTGCATGATATCCTGCATTTAATTACTTGATAATTAGTTACCAATTAATCACAAGACAATTGTGTTTTTGAAAACTTTATTTTTTATGATAATCTTAATAAAAATGAAAAGTTTTAAGTATTTCTAAGACTCAAGACTCTGTGATTGCGTCAAGAATTTCATACATAAGAGTCCGGAATATCCAGAATCTCGTGAAAAGCATACGTTGGCGGGACTTAGGGAAAGGNTATTCTAGTTTTTATGTGTAATTAATGCATCAATTACTGAATAGATATATCTATTAGCGGTGTAATCCCTTTCCCTAAGTCCCGCCAACGTATGCTTTTCACGAGATTCTGGATATTCCGGACTCTTATGTATGAAATTCTTGACGCAATCACAGAGTCTTGAGTCTTAGAAATACTTAAAACTTTTCATTTTTGTTAAGATTATCATAAAAAATAAAGTTTTCAAAAACACAATTGTCTTGTGATTAATTGGTAACTAATTATCGAGTAATTAAATGCAGGATATCATGCAAAAACATATTTACGATGAATTTAATTATGAAGTAGTTTTTGTCTAAACTTTTGCGTACACTATAGATAAAAGTATTAATTTCTAAAAATAATTCAAATAATTTTTCTTTTTATTGTTATGGTATTTAAGTTTATAAGTACTCAGGAATCGTGTACGGAATAAGTCTATAGCAAACTGATAGTAAAAGTGTAGTAATCTATAGTCAACAGAATATACACATAAAATATTTATCATTAAACACAGGGCTAAACAATTTTGCCAAAATAGCTTTGAGGGATCAGTTACGCTAATTAACAGCAATTGTTTTTATATACACTATTGGAAGTCCTAATTACAAATCCCGGAAGACTATCATTGGGAATAACACATCGATGTTTGAATTTTTTTAAACAAACAAATAAAAATCTTGTACATGTTAAATATACACAATTGTTTAGTAGTTTTTACACTTTTGTTTAGTAGTCTCTCTCTCTCTCTCTCTCTCTCTCTCTCTCTCTCTCTCTCTCTCTGTTTAGTGACAATTTTATTGTACAAACAGACAATCAATTTGGCAAATATTGTCAATATAGATGTTTTTTGTGCCATTTATTGCATGTTTTGTGTGTCTAGCTCTAGGTTTTTGCACCTAATGTTTGACTACTGGCGTACACAAAATGTATCTAAATTTTGATTGTTTATGTCGTTATAATAACACATTTATCACAAAATAATACTTTTTCCGATCACATTGTGTGCAACAGACAAAACATATGTATGATTTGAAGTTTACAATATTTTTCTAGACTTTCCATACAATGACTGCCGATATTAGTTGTGACACATTTGAGTCAAATTTTCTATAACCTACTAAACCTTACGATAAAATGTATATTTTATCTGATTTTCAATCGCATATTTTATGGTAACATTTTATAACCTTTTCTATTGGAAACTCATTCACATTGAAGGGCTATTATAATATTGTCAGAAAAAGGTTTTCCATTATTTTCAATCGCTAGAGAGAGAGAGAGAGAGAGAGACTACTAAACAAAAGTGTAAAAACTACTAAACAATTGTGTATATTTAACATGTACAAGATTTTTATTTGTTTGTTTAAAAAAATTCAAACATCGATGTGTTATTCCCAATGATAGTCTTCCGGGATTTGTAATTAGGACTTCCAATAGTGTATATAAAAACAATTGCTGTTAATTAGCGTAACTGATCCCTCAAAGCTATTTTGGCAAAATTGTTTAGCCCTGTGTTTAATGATAAATATTTTATGTGTATATTCTGTTGACTATAGATTACTACACTTTTACTATCAGTTTGCTATAGACTTATTCCGTACACGATTCCTGAGTACTTATAAACTTAAATACCATAACAATAAAAAGAAAAATTATTTGAATTATTTTTAGAAATTAATACTTTTATCTATAGTGTACGCAAAAGTTTAGACAAAAACTACTTCATAATTAAATTCATCGTAAATATGTTTTTGCATGATATCCTGCATTTAATTACTCGATAATTAGTTACCAATTAATCACAAGACAATTGTGTTTTTGAAAACTTTATTTTTTATGATAATCTTAACTTTTTACTTTTCAAAATTCATAAAGATTCTGAGTTCTGAGACACTAACGCAGTTCTTAAAGTATGTATTCTCAGGCCTTATAGGTCTTAGAGCACTTTTCGTATGCAACCGCCCTGAATCCCTTTCCGATTACACCGCTAATAGATATATCTATTCAGTAATTGATGCATTAATTACACATAAAAACTAGAATAATAGTTATCATACAAAACAGTGATTGAAGCTTTAATTATTAAATATTTCTCTCTCTCTCTCTCTCTCTCTCTCTCTCTCCCACTGATATAACCCTACATTTAAATAGCGCTATATTTTATTCAGTAGTCATTATAGAGCCACTCATTGATGAGAAATACGTCAAGAATTTACGGTAGATTTGCCGTCAAATTACAGTATTTGTATCACAATAAGCAAAATAAACACAAATGTATTTTTCATTTTGTATTTATTTATTTATATATATCTATTTTAAGTAAAAACTAATTTAAATCTTTTATAATGAAACAGTTGTACCGATCGTTTCACTCACTCAGTCATCCATTCATTTGTTTTAACTCTCATTTTGGAGTCAAATCTCTGATAAATATTTGAATTTAAATTCCAGTTATACTTCATTGTATAGGAAAACACGGAATCTTTTCACCAGAATTTGAAACACAATTTCCAAACGCTATGTTAATAATGAAAACTAATTAATAGTTTAATTTTCGGTAGTTTTTGACGAGAGAGAGAGAGAGAGAGAGAGAAAGAGAAAGAGAGAGAACGGACTTAAAAGTTAATTAAATAGAGAAATAATTTCAAAGCAAACAGTTTTAAAAATTATTTTTCACTTTTATTATTTCAAAAATGTTGTCAATTCATATGGATTTTGTTTATTGATTTTCAAAACAATTTATTCATTCATTACTCGATTTATATATAATAATGTATTTTGTGTTTTACCTGTAATTGATTTGTAATGAAATTATGTACTTTTTTCATATATAATATTTATATAATTATTAAACACAACAAACAAACAATTCATTTCTTAAATATAATTTTTCATTTGTAATGTCTTTTTATATGTCAAGTGGTTTCTTGTCTCATAAGTATTTATTTTACAACTAATACAACAAATTCTTAATAATAATAATCATATAATAATTATTTCATATAATGTCTCAATATAATCAATTACTCATTATGTATATAATACAAACAAAAACTATAATAAATAAAAATCACTTGTTTAGTTTTTTAAAAAATAGTTAACATCTAGCAAAAAACATGTGAAATATCTATCCATAAAAAACTCAAACTCCTACAAAACAACCAAGATTCAAATACTTACAAATACTAAATAAATAAATTTCAAAACTAATCAAACATGCAAATAAAGACTTTTACTTAACATGTTAAATATTATCTCATTTTATACATACATATGAATCGATAAAAATATAAATCATAATAAAATTCTTATCCAATCATACGATAAATAAGTGATTTATTAATGATTATAGGAATTAATATCACGTTTTCGGAACCGTATGCCATCGGATGCTCGCATTAGGCGTTCCCGTAATTTGAGGGCTGACTCCAAGTCGTTTTTGCCGACGTCCGACGACTCGTCCAGACCGTTACGCCGGAACCGTATGCGGTCGGCCGCCCGGAGCTGATTCTGTCGGGACCTCACGAGTGACTCGATCACCGACTTATCCGACTGGAGCCGCTGATCGCGCCGGTAGGGCAGCAACTGTTGTCGTAGGTCCTCCTCAAACATCGCCCAATTACCCAACGGCGCGGCGATTGTGTTCAGACATATGTTGCAGAATATTATGATTACAATACAATTAGTTAGCGTGGAATTCATGGTGAGTATAGAGTTCGGTGTGATATTAAGCTCCCAGTGCTCAGTGGAAATGGATTTCAAGTGATATTATAGCGGTGGTAGTGATGGCGAGAAACGGTAGACTTTTTTCTCTATCGTCTGTCGCTTTTGGGTTTGATTTATCGCTTGAAGTGATATATCTTTTGGACCCAAAAGACAATTATTTGCGATGAAAAAACAATATGCTATGCACTGGATATACAGGCGCTCACACGAGTGGACTGGTAGTCAGTCGGCGCTGACTTTTATATGTATTTAAAGGTTATATCTTTTGAGAGGACGAACAATAAGAGACCAACGGATAGACCAACGGATGGTTACGTATTGAGTGGTTGAGTCGATATGGGAGTCCTTTATATATATGATATTCAATAGTCGATGACGAGGGTACCGGTGCTCAAGACTATAGGAGATGAATAGAGAGAAAACAATTTTGACGCCTCTTTGCTTTGATAAACACAATCACAAAACAAGTGAAGACTTCTTATAATAAATTTTTTTTTCGTTCACTTCTTATATATATTATAGTCTTTTCGCTGATTGAATGGAAAGACCTTTAAATTCTTTACCTCTTATGGTATTAACCGGAATATTCAACACACGAGTCGTTATTCTGTATAGTAATTGAATAGTGAACTATAAAATAGGGTATAAAAATAGTTTTAAGCTTTAATTTAGCTTGGCTATAGATATGGATAGTAACTTTCTCTGTACTAAAGCAAATTTGTTGTCAATATAAGTATACGAATACAAGAATGTGTTGATTGAAAAATAGAGATTTAAATTACTTTTGCTTCAAAAAAGCTAATATTTCACTGTATCTTATCGCACCGACTAATCTACCGGGGCTTTAATATTGAAAATATTTAATATACGTATTTCCTTTATTTTCTCAGACAATAAACTTATTATTATCGAAAAATATAGAAGTGATACAAAAATCCTCAAACCTTTTTCATTCACTTAAAATATTTTGATTAAACAAAATATTTTTGTCAAACAAATGATGAGAAAAAACTTTTTGATATATTTTATATTCTCAGACGAAATAGACTGATATTCACTCATTCATTCAGAAAAAGGACTGGTAGTCTAAGTCACAGAATAACTTTCTTATATAATGTATGATATATAGTGAAAACTACAAAAACTTTTATGCGTGCACTCAATAAGGACTTAATTTTTGCTGGAAATTCCGTTTCTATTTATACGGCAATACTGTGCGTAAAGTGGGTATACATAGGAATCTTACGCTTACGGGTAGTGTATGAGTAAGTGAGTAGTATATGAGGGGAATGGGAGGACAGGGCATAGCCAGTGGGAAACGTATGCGCATAACGCTATGCAAGAGTCACAGAATATTCTTGGTATTCATGTGAGTAGTGTATGTGTGAGTGAAGTGTTGGCTATTATACGAGTGAATCAATAAATTAAAATGTTTTTTCGTGTGGTATTCATAGGCGTAGAAATTTGTTTGTGTGTGTGTGTGTGTTGACCAAGATAATTAAAACTTTTAGTATTACTAATAACACACATTTTGTGTAATAAATAAAAATAATGAGTTGTTTGTTGTATAATACATCGGAATTCACAAAACGTTTGTTATTTTGTGGACATTAAATAACATGAGAAATGCATTTAATATAAAAAATTTAGTGATAATTATTCATAAACAGTAAATAGGCATAAATAGTTTTAGAAATTAAAAACTGACATACCGTATCTCACAAGTATTCAAAAAATGTTGTTTTATTTTTATTTGATATGGGAAATCTCTGGAGGTATGTCTAAATCATACATTTATAAATACCATAATATGTTTACGATTAAAAAGCGTTTATAATTTATTATTTAAACCGTATCTACCGTTCCCTCGATAGTACGGTTAAAATCTAATTATTTTTCATAATTTGATTTACGGCAATAAGTTTTTAAAATTAATTTCTAAAGTGATGTTAACGTGAAATAAAATTTACACTGATTTACAGCAACTGATGATATACGCAAAAGTCGCATATATTTGTCTAACACTTTAATTAAAGTCATATTTAATTAAAATATGTTAAGATAGCTCTCTCTCTCTCTCTCTCTCTCTCTCTCTCTCTCTCTCTCTCTC